AATAAATGGTTGCCAACAGGGAGAGGAAGGTAACAGGTTGGTGGGGACAGGGAGAGGCGCTGGACTTCTCTGGATGGACTTTCTTTTGTAGTAATCCTAAAACAAAGTTACATGAAAACCTGAAAACTGGGGCATCTGGCTGGCTCCGTCAGTGGATCATATGATCTCTGAGTTGTGGGTTTGAGCCCCAAGTTGGGTATAGAGATTGCTTAAAAATAAAATCTTAAAAAAAAAATGAAAAACTTCACCCTAAAGAGCAAAAGCAAAACGGAACGAAGGAACCAATATAGAGTCTCGACTCCACAGAAACAAAGTACTTTCCTCTAAAGCAGAGCGATACCCTAAAGGAGGTATAGCCCAACAAAGAAAGAACCACAGAAGAATGTTAGACTGTTTTCAATAATCATACTGTTAGTAAAAATGGCATTGTTATTCTGACACAATTATATATAAATAATAAAGTTAATGATTGTGCTAAGAAAATCAGGATCCAAGATTTTTATTTTTATTAAACATTTTTATTTAAATTCAATTAATTAACTTATAATGTATTATTGGTTTCAGAGGTACAGGCCTGTGATTCATCAGTCTTACACAATTCCCAGTGCTCATTATATCACATGCCTTCCTTAATGTCCATCACCCAGTTACCCCATCCCTCCAGCAACCCCAGTTCATTTCCTATGATTAAGACTCTCTTGGGGCACCTGTGTGGCTCAGTTGTTAAGCATCTGCCTTCACCTCAGGTCGTGGTCCCAGAGTGCTGGGATCAAGCCCCACTTGCTCCGTGAGGAGTCTGCTTCTCCTTGTGCTCTCTCTCTCTCTCTGTCAAATAAATAAATTATATATATATATATATATATATTTTTTTTTTAAAGGACTCTCTTGGGGCACCTGGGTGGCTCAGTGGGTTAAGCTTCTGCCTTCGGCTCAGGTCATGGCCTCAGGGTCCTGGGATCGAGCCCTGTATCGGGCTCCAGGGAGCCTACTTCCCCCCCTCTCTCTGACTGCCTCTCTGCCTACTTGTGATCTCTCTCTCTCTCTCTCTCTATCAAATAAATAAATAAAATCTTTACAAAAAAAAAAAAAGACTGTCTTATGGTTTGTCTCCCTCTCTGGTTTCATCAGGATCCAAGATTTTTTTTTAAAAGATTTTATTTATTTATTTGACAGAGAGACACAATGAGAGAAGGAACACAGCAGGGGAAGTGGGAGAGGGAGAAGCAGGCTTCCCGCCATGCAGGGAGCCGGATGTGGGGCTCGATCCCAGGACCCTGGGATCATGACCTAAGCTGAAGCCGCTTAACTGACTGAGCCACCCAGTCACCTCAGGATCCAAGATTTTTAACACAAGAGAAAAAGAGATGCAACTATAAAGAAGTTAATAACCACCTGGCCCTAAATTTGAATTTGAAATATCAGTAGGAATTCATGATGTTTTTTACATTAATATTTTTTTTTCCTAGCTTTGTCCTCTGAAAAGACATAGACATAATGACCAACCTGATGACAACAAGCACTCCTAGAGCCCCAGTTGTGTGCTCCAAATGCCATTTCCCACTGGGATGGACTAGGGTTTCTTGAGATGGGAGATGAACTTGGAATATCTTTTCTTATTAGGAATCAAGTAAGTGATCAATGATTACAATGTATTAAAAAGACTCAGGTAAACTTAAAGAGGTTTCCACAGGCCAAAGATGGAATGATTGTTAATTTTAAAAAGTGTAATGGATTAAAATATATCAAATATGTTAAAGTCTTTGAGTTCAAATGATAATAGAAAGAAACATACCTACTTGGTCACCTCTGAAGAATGAGAGAAAACCAGTTTATTACTCTGAAAGCTAATAAATAAAGGCAATAATTAAGCATTCAACTTGCTGTCCTGTATGGATCCCAAACAACTGGTAGTTTGGGGGGCACGCACATGACCTTCTTGCAGGAATCTCCCATCCTATGTTAATACCTTGCTAGAGGGGAAAAACAACCTTAGCCTGACAATGGGCAAGGCTGCAAGGCCTCTGGTATCTTGTAGGTCCTCTTTAGTGTATAAAAGTTCTTTTGAAACCTCCCTTTTTCTTACCTCCCCCAACCCCATAGTATATAGTCAGCCACCCCTCACAACCCTAGGGCAGCAGCTCTTCCTGCCCACAGGTCCTGTCCCCATGCTTTAATAAACCACCATTTTGCACCAAAGATGTCTCAAGAATTCTTTCTTGGTCATCAGCTCCGGACCTCACCCCACTGAACCTCACTTATATTCTGAAACTTCATCAACCAAGGTTAAGTTTGTCTTTCTGGAACTGTTTCCACAAATGCAGCAGGGTTACCAATACCAGAATGCTGCCATCTTGCAAACTCCTCATGAAACACAGGCAGGCAGGACTGTTAGAGGAAATGCATAATGCACACTTAGGAAGTGTTGTGTGCCAATGCAAAATCTAATTAGTCTCCACCTCTAAGTTTACAGGAACTCCTAGTGACAGAAAGACACCACAAGAATGCAAAGGCAAAAATCCCAAAAATGAGAAACTCCACAGGATGCATGACCAGAATTTGATAAATTTCAAAGAGGTTTAAAAAAAAAAGCGGAAGGAAGCTACTGATTACAATATTCAACCCTTATGCTCATTGCAGCACTTTTTTACAATAGCTAAAATATGGAAGCCATCCAAGTGTCCACCTACTGACAAATAAAGAATATTTACAATGGGATACTACTCAACCATAAAAAAAGGAATGAAATCTTGCCATTTGCAACAACATGGATGGATCTGGACAGTATAACGCTGAGTGGGATAGGTCAATCAGAGAAGGTACTATGTGATTTCACGCATGTGAAATTTAAGAAACAAAACGAAGAAAAAAAAAAGAAAAGCCAAATCAAAAGGCTGACTGACTACAGCAAACAAACTGGTAGGTGGGAGGGGGTTTGGTGAAACAGGTGAAGGGGAGTATCTTGAGGACTGAGTAAGGTAAGAATTGTTGGCTCGCTACCATACCTAGCATAGGAATGTTCACGACCATACTCTACATACACCTGAAACCAATATAACATATGCTAACTACAGTAAATTTAACATTTTAAAATAAGTAAGATTCTAGTTTAAAAAAAAATAAAAGAAAATGTAAGTCTGTCAACCAAATGCATTATGCATTGCTAGTTTTGGGGGTTTTTTTTAATCATTTTTTTAATTTATTTTCAGCATAACAGTATTCATTGTTTTTGTACCACACCCAGTGCTCCATGCAGTCCGTGCCCTCTCTAATACCCACCACCTGGTTCCCCCAACCTCCCAACCCCCGACCTCTTCACACCCTTCAGATTGTTTTTCAGAGTCCATAGTCTCTCATTGTTCACCTCCCCTTCCAATTTCCCCCAACTGCCTTCTCCTAACTCCCCATGTCCTAGTTTTGATGGGGTTTGGAATATAGGTGAAGTTTGGTGGGGTGAAGTCCAGAGCCAAGGCCAAGAAAGAACGCTTGAGACGTCTCTGGTGCAAAAGGGTAGTTCTAGGACCTGTGGGCAGAAGAATGCACTCTGGGTTTGTGAGGTGTGGCTGATTACATACTTGGGAATTTGGGGGAGGTATGGAAAAGGGAGGTTTCAAAAGGATTTTTGTATGTTAAAGAAGACTCACAGGATACCAGAGTCCTAGCCATTGTCAAGTTAAGGGTGTTTTCCCCTCTAGGGAGGCGTGAACAGTAAGGTACTTGGGAGCGTCCTGGAGGAACCTGACACGCTGCCTGCTTCAAGTATCTGTCAATGGGCTGTAGATTATAAGGACATTTGATTTTATCTGGAAACTAGGTTGTTGGTAGAAAGGCTTTGTGCTTGCAGGTCACTAAGCCTTGCCGGGTTGTGATCTCTCCAAGTTAGCCATCTGCTTTTCCTTCAGGGCAGCCGGGAGAACATCCCACGGTGGCGAGCAGTTTGTGGGGTGTCCGCTTCGGCCTGTCCTCAGCTCGTCTTCTGCTCCCTCATCAGTTTGAATCACGACTCACTCGAACTGATTAAAAGTAAGAAACAGCATGACGTACAGAAGGCTCTGGACACTGGCTACTTGATGACAGTGAAGCATAATGGAACATTTAGGTGTGATCGTGCTTTTGCAGCGACGCTCTCAAGGGCCCTTCTCTCTCAGACAGACCTGGAAGTTCAAAATGACCTGCTCCGTGAGACACAGGCGAAGCGACTGGTCAGTAACGGCTTCAGCGGTTAGACAGACACGTGCTAAACTACCTTCTCTAGCGTCGTGTACCGCTGGAAGCTTCCAACCTAAGCAGCTAAAAAGCAGCAGTAAGCGAGGGGCGTCCCCCGCACCCCAGCACCCTGTCTGCCTGAGGTCACCGGGCGCCCAATCCCGGGGTTCGCGCATCAGGAGAGGCGACATGGCCCACTCTCCCTCCCGTCCGCGCCCCTCGGGCGTTCCTGTCCGGGCCGCCTGAGGCTCCTCTCCCGGGTTGCCCCCGCGGGACCGCTCACCGCCCTCCCGGGCGCGGGCTTCCAACCGCCCCCCCCCCCCCCCCCCCGCGAAAGGCCGTCACCGCCAGTGCAGGCGGCGGAGCGGGCCCTCAGTGCCACACGCGACCGCCGCCAGGCCCTAGCCGGGTCCCGGGCCACAGCAACGAGAAGGCACTTTCAGAGGGGGAAATGCCACCCGCTTGAGGCGTTCAGGGGACCGGTGGGGACAGACAGCTGAAACCCACAGCAGCAGCGACGCAAGGAAAGCCGCTGCAGGACCACCGGCAGTGCGATGCCCGCAAGGCCCGGGCGCGATGTGGCCTCTCTAGGCGCGCGGGAGGTCTCCGCTCTCGGTGGCTCTGGAGCGCGCCGCAGAGCTGTCCGTCAGGAAAATGGCGCCGGCGGGGAAGGCGGGGCCGGGGGCCGCGCTGGGGGCTGTCGCACGCCAGGACTGGTGGCCCGAGGGTGTGGGCGGGGACTGAGGAGGCGGGGCCCCCCGGGATTGGCGGATGCGCAGACGAGGCGGGGCGTCCCCTTTGTCTGGGTGCGTTGCGGGAGCCGGTCCCTTCGCGCGTGAGGCTGCGGCGTGGAAGGTGAGTGGGGGATTCGCGTGGGCACTGGCAGGTCGGGACCGCCCCCTGCCCGCACGGAGGTCGGAGCCGGGTCGTCCTCGGGGATAGGGCACTTCCCTGCGGGCGCCGGTTCCTTCGCCGGCGGACGCGCAGCGGCCTCTGCCTCCGCGGACCCCGCTGCGCGACCCAGCCCCCCGCCTTCCGCCACACCCCAGTGCCCGCCTGCGCCTCGCACCCGGGCCTCCCCTGACCCCCAGCCCTCGGCCCCCGCCGCGCCCCGAGCACCGCCCCCCCCCCCCCTCCCCCTTCCGACTCCCCCGCCCCCTCCGCCACGCTCCCGGGCCCCTCCCCCGCGGACCGCGGGCCCCGCGGGAGCTGCAGGGATTCGGCGGGGAGGACCCGCGCCCGTGCGCGGGGAGGGCGGTCCGTGACCGCGTGTCGCGGGGCTCCCGGAGTCCAGGGCCAGGTGAGAAGCTCGCCCCGCCCCGCAGCGCCTCCGCACCTCGCGGTCGGTCGTCGCTCCACGTCCGAGCGGCGTTTCTCCGTCTCTCGTCCGCGCGCTGGGCTTCCCTGTGACTCCGGAGTGGCCGAGACCAGCCTCCTCCGGCCTCTTCGCTGGTGCTTCCCCGGTGGGTCATCGGTTCTCCACGTCTTGATGCAAAACGATGCGCGTCTGGGGAAGCGCGAGCTTGCGGGAGAACGTCGGTGAGCGGGGCCGCGGGTCCCCCCGGCTGTGGCACCCGCCGTCCGCGGCTGCGGGGAGGGTGCGCCTTGGGTCGCGCGCCCCGCACAGTCGTCGCGGAGTGTTTGAGTTTCAGTCCCCGGGGCTGGGTGGGGTTGAAACTTCTTGTGCCTTCGTGGCCCCCGGATCGGCCGGTCCCTGCTCTGTGTGCGCCGAAAATTCTCCGTAAACTGACGTTTGACTCCAGCTACTGCGTTTTGTTCCGGCTGGGGTTTTTGAAGAGATTTCAGCTTTTTTTTTTTTTTTTTAAGATTTTATTTATTTATTTGACAGAGAGAGATCACAAGGAGACAGAGAGGCAGGCAGAGAGAGAGGAGGAAGCAGGTTCCCTGCTGAGCAGAGAGACCGATGCGGGGCTCGATCCCAGGACCCTGAGATCATGACCTGAGCTGAAGGCAGAGGCTTTAACCCACTGAGCCACCCAGGTGCCCCGAGATTTCAGCTTTTTAATGTTAAAGTATTTAACTCCAAAGGCTTTTGAGCTTTGTTGTTTTAAAGAGCTTTCCCCTTGCCAAGATTATTTTTAAAACAAACCCTTGTTTTTCTCCGGTACTTGTGCAATGTTGGACCCATCTGGAATTTATTTTGGTGCGGGGTGAGAGGAATCCAGCGACGTTTTTTTCTCTGTGCTGTTTCCAACACCACCTATTGAATAATTCATCTTTCCATTGATTTGGAAAACCACCTTTGTCGTGCATTAATTCGTGCGTGATTTTGGGTCCATTCTGGAATTTGGTGGCTTTGATGTGCATGAGGTCTTGATTTTCGTGCAGCAGATCTGGAAGTCTCTGCCCCCATATTTCTGCTTTTGGTATTTTGCTTAAAAGGCCCTTCCCACCTGAAATAATAAAAACGTATTTGCATTCAAGTTCTTTCTATAAAACGTGATGTAAAACTTCTGCTCTTCATTCATTAGCTTGCCCAGGATTCATTAGACGTGTAGTATTTGATATGAGATGATCTAATTTTTTTCTAGCTTTTTTTTTTTTTTTTAATCTCTTTGCCTTCCTCTACTTTCTGGGAGAGCTGCTGAACTTCATGCACAGGCCCAATTCTACTTTTCCTAAAGCATTTAGCTCGTCCTAGCCCCATTTCCTGAACCCTGTTTCCTCAGCAGTTTGAATCGCCTCATCTGTTCTCCATTTGTGTATACGGATTTGGCCCTGCTCTGCCCGGTTCCTGTGTCACCCCTTTTCATCCAGGCCCACTTGGCTCTTGGGGCACCTTGGTTTTGTGGATACAGTGAGAATTTATATCTCATTTCTGTAGATAAGTTTATTTTAAGCTTGTTTCTTGTGTCATTTGTGATCCTGTGTATTTTCTGACCAGGTCTGCTGGTGTGTAGGAAGCTATGGGTCTGGGCGCGTGATCGTTGGCTGTGGAAGATTGCAGGGTTCTGCTCTGTGTTCACACGTGGCTCAGAGAGGCCTCTCCTGAAGATGCTTCCCCGGTGGAGGGCACAGGACTCACTCCAGCAAGAAAGCCCGTAGGTGAGGACAGGGGAGGAAGATCTTCGGAGCTGCCCAGCCCAGACCAGGGACTGGGGGTGTGCCTGGCCTGGCCTGTCACTGTGGGCAAGGTCTTTGGAAGATAGGCATGCTTGTTCTTCTCCATCAAGCCCAGGAGGAATTCAATAAGGGCAACAAGTTCCTAAAACTTAGCTTACAAAACAAAGTAATCATAAATAATAAAACATGAAGTTCTAAGCTCTTTGCGCCTCTGCGGTCCCTTCCTTAGTTGCTGGCCGCTCAGCCGTCAGGAGAGCCAGGGCCTGCTTGGCACAGAATCTCTCTCTGCAGTGTGGCTTCTTTCCCGTGAGGCGTCCAGTGCCGCTGAGAACACTGGTCTGTTCTGGTTTTGTTTGGGTTACTCCCTGCTCCCTGAGGAGAGTTCCAAAAATGAAATTCCTGCATCTGAGGAATGACTGGCTGATGGATGGTTGGGCCTGGTGCAGGCCCCCCCAGGGGGTGCGGTTTGTGCTTGGCCCTGCGTTGGGGGTGGCATGGCCGTCTGATCAGAACTGGGCATGCCCACCTAATCTCCCTTCCTGTCTCAGCTCCTGCATTGGGGCGACTGGGTGGCTCCATCCGTTAAGTTTCTGACTCTTGATTTTGCTTCAGGTCATGACCTCAGGGTTGTGAGATCGAGGGCTCCGTGCTGAGTGTGGAGCCTGCCCAAGATTCTCCCCACCCCGCCCCCCGCCCCTCCATCCCCTTGTTTAAAAAACAAACGAACAACTGTGTTTTTTCACAGAGCAAAGCCTGGAGGTGGGCATCGGAATCACGGGGGTCAGGGTGGAGGAGAGGGCGGCTCAGGAAGTGCCAGTTCTGGCCCTGGATGGCTCTGTTCACCTGCCCGACAGCTGTCAGCTTTGGGGGCCACAGTGTTTTGCACATCTTTGTGTGCAGTCACAGACTTATTCAAAACTAGTCCGTACCACTTCTTGTATTTGTTCTTTTTCTTCATCGGAATACAGGAATATGTCTTAGTTCCTTTGGGCTGCTCCAGTAAAATACTATAGACTAAGTAACCTATAAAACAGACGGTTCTCAAGTTCTGCAGGCTGCAGGGTGCCTCCGTGGTCGGGGAGGACCTTTTCGGGTTGCAGACTTCTTGTCGCGTCCCCACATGGCCGAAGGAGTGAGGAAGCTCTGTGAGGTTCTTGTACTGATCCCATTGTGAGGGCTCCAGCCTCATGACCTAAGCATTTCCCAGTGGCCTCACCTCCTAACACTACCCCGCTGGGCGTTAGGATTTCACCATGTGCATATTGGAAGGACACAAACCTTCAACCAAAGTAACAAGTATACTGGTGTGTATGCTTGGGCTTGGTAACGTGTGAACGTCATCCTGGGTAGAGAGCCTTTGTTTCAGTGCTTTTCTAGGACTGTCCCCTTCCCCTCTACCCACCCCCCGGGAATCTTGCCCTTTGCCTTGTACACCCGCCTCCATGCCTCGCTCATACTGACAGCCTGGTTTTTTGAGTTAATCTAACTGAATGAGCCGAGCAGCGTCTGACTTCGCAGCCTGCTGCCTCTTGAGGCCTGCAGAGGAGGGGTGTGGGCTCCCTGTTTCATAGGTGTGGACAAAGCACTCACGTTTCTTGACCCTGGAGGCATTCTCTCTGAAAGAGGACATTATGGACATGCTCTCTGCATCCCATGGTCTCATTTATCTACTGGCTGTTTCCCCCAGCTTAACTCTTTCTCAGGGGGTGTGTGACCTGTGTGTGGAAGGACTGTGGCTTGGCAGTGGCACCATCCTTGGGCCTGTGTCCATTCCAGGGGAGTGCCCACTCTGAAATGGTCTAACCGATTCGTCTACATACTGCCAAGTGGCTTTCCTGAGAAAGAGTGTGAAGTATGGGCTCATAGCTCTTACTTCATTCACTTAATCAGCAAATATTGGGTTGCTGGCTGCTCTGGGACACAAAGGGAGAATCAGGACTGGGAGACAGGCCTTCAAGGTTGGGGGGTCAAGAAGGCCCTCGATGAGAGGATTATGTGCCAAGAACCAGCCAAAGGTCAGGAGCCTCCCTAGCAGAAGGGAAGCCCAGGCAGGGGTTCTGACCAGCCTCGAAGCAGCCGTGAAGGAGCCAGGAAGGGGTTCAAGCCAGCAACAGCCACGGTTCCCACAGTGGGGTTGGGGGTGCACAGGGGAACAGCCCTGCTGCAGCAGGGCCGCGTTCTGGATGTGCTTGGAGGGTGGAGGGGGGCTGTGGAGGAGGAGGGGGAGGAGCGCTCGGACGGCTCATTCTGTTGAGTGTCTGACTCTTGATGTTGACTCAGGTCATGAGATCAGGCCTTGTGTTGGGCTTCACACCCAGTGGGGAGTCTCCTTGAAGATTCTTTTGCTCCTTCCTTCCCCCTGCTTGTGCGCGCTCTCCCTCTCTCTTTCTCAAATAAATAAGTCTTTAAAAAAAAAAAAGAAGAAGCCAAGTGCCTCCTCGGGTCAGCTGTACCTGTCTCCAGCACTCACTGGGGAGGTCCTGAATGGTGTTCCCATGGGTGTTTCTTGTTGAATCCCGGCCCAGTTGCAGTGGAGCCTACTTGTACCTGGTTCCCAGGGGACCAGGGCTGGATTATCCAGAAAGGTCAGAGTCTCATGCAGGTGAGGATTGAGGGAGCAGTGTCCAGGACACCTGGTGGGGACTGAGTTGCGGGAGGACGGGTGACTGACTCTCACAGCTGCCAGCAGTGGGCGAGGAGCTGGCCACATGGAGGTGATGGAAGCCCCTGACCAGAGCCGCCTTGGTGGGGGGCGGGTGGAGACCACTCATGGGGAAGCAGCCGGACAAAGCCTTGGGGAAGATGACTGACCATGAACAGTGGCAGGTCTGTGGGCCGCTTGAGAGGGTGTGGGTGTCAGAATCACCATCAAGAGGGCAGGGGCAGAGCAGGTGGTGGCAGTGACTTTCTCATGGTTGTTCTGAGACCTGGTGAGTCCCCCCCCCCGCATTCTTTCAGATTTTATTCTTACCTGTTCTCCAGCATTTACTGTTCATATGAATTTAAGGTTAGTGTCACTCTTTTAAGACCCCTATTGGGATCCTAATTAGAGTTCTGTTGCATTGACACAGACACACAGATTTGGTGAGAATGGGCATTCTTGGTGAACAGAAGGATGGAGAGAGGCCAGCCTCTCTCCGCCCGAGTCTCCTCTCCTGTCCCTTGAGGCCGCTGCAGTTGGGAATTCTGTGTGTATATTCCCAGAAGTTGTCCGTGCAAACATACACATACATTTTATATTCTGCGAAGAAAATGGGTTGTGATGCTTCCTGACTTCCTGCCCCCAAGTCGTCCCTTTGAGCAGCCCACAGTGTGAGGCATCCTGTTTGTCACGGTGATCGTGGTGGCCGTGTCCCTCTTGGAGACTCCTTTTGACACTCCAAATAATATGAGCCCCATCCCCCCATTAGGAGAGCTCTTGGTCGTTCCCTCCCCATTTTTTCCAGTAATTTGAATATGACAGACACCTCAGCTAAACTAGTCCTTTTACGTCCCAGAACCTGCCCACCCATAGGCCTCTCCAAGGTGCTTAGACCAAATCCCTGGGTGACTCTGGACTTAACCTACCAGAATCAACCATGTGTCACGCCTCCAATGCCAGTCCCTGGTGGAGACACCACCAGGCTCACGGTGCCAGCCTCACTGCAGAGCCAGGGCACAACCAGGGCAGCCTGAGGCACCGACAAGCCACAGGAATCACAGTCGAGTGAATCCCGAAGGACCTGGGGTGGGCTGCCCCAAGAGTACGGACCTCAAGCAACACCACGCATTCTCAGCCTGTCTTCCCTGGAGATTATCTCTGGAGGCAGCCTGGCCTGGCACCAGCCCTTCTGTGTGGACTGTGGGCCTGAGCAGATGGCGCCGAGTCCTTGTTAGCTCCCCAGCTGACCATGAGGACCCCAGGGTCTGGAGAACAAAACCTTCTGGCTGGAGCCTTGGGGTACACAGGTGTCCCCAGGCATCTGAGGCGGGATTGTTCCTGGGCTCACAGAGTCCAGGGACCGTTGTTCCTGAATTGTGGAGTAAGAATTGGCGGGGGGGGGGGTTGGACTCCCAGAACTAGGGTCTGTGAAGGCAAGGCTGGGCCCCTCATGTACTCCCTCTTCCTCAGCCCCACAGGCTCCTCGGACTTCCATCTTCCTCGGAAACCTCAGGCGGTCCAGCCATGGCAGCGGCCAGGCTCCTGCCACCGCCAGCAGCACCCCAGGTGAGCTGCCTCGAGGCCTGTGCAGCACCTCTGGGTTCCCTCACAGCCCTCCTATGCCCAGGGCTCCAGGTGGTCACCTAAGTGTCGCTGCATCTGAACCCTGTGGCCTCTTCCTGTTACACGCCCCCATCCCCCACCCTTCCCCCCGCCAAGCTGTTCACATGTGTTTCCCCTACCAGGGGTATCTCCACTTGCATCCACTCCATCTCAGATGTGGAGACTTAGTCCAACCTGCAGCAGCCCCTGTCATTCCAGGCCAAGGTGACCTTTGAGGATGTGGCCGTGCTCCTCTCCCAGGAGGAATGGGACCGCCTGGGCCCTGCTCAGCGGGGCCTCTACCGACACGTGATGATGGAGACCTATGGGAACGTGGTATCGCTAGGTATGGCCCCTCAGCAGGCCTCTTCTGTGTCTGTGTGCTCAGCCAGGGGTGGGGGCCCTGTGGTGGGTGCTCTAGAGGAACGGCAGTCCTGTGTGTCATGCCCGCAGGTCACTCGGGTGGGGTGGGGTGCGGGTGTTCACAGATACTGTGTTGACAAAAGGCCTTCCCTCCCGTGAGCAGGACTTCCAGGATCAAAGCCCAATGTGATCTCTCAGCTGGAGCGAGGCGAAGAGCCGTGGGTCCTGGACGGGCAAGGGGCTGAGGAGACTAGGGGCCTGGGGAGTGGCCGGTCAGGTGAGTGAAGTGAGCTGGCCCTCCTTCCCTTGGGTTAGTCAGTTCCCAGTGGCTGTGGGCACTGACAGGTGACAGACAGCAGGAGGAACGTCCAGCCTCTTCTGGCAGAGGCTTAACGAAATGAATTGCTCTTACGTTGTAACGGCAGATGGACAGTTCCTACTCTCGAGAAGTGTTGTGTTTCCCTTCAGCTCTCTTTTCCTTTTGCAGACAGCTACGGGCATGACCACACGACAGCTCGTATGCGACAAGACCGTTCGCCCTATCCATGGGGTAGGTGTGTGTCTCATCATTCTGACCCACACAGTCCCGCAGGTATTCATGCTCACCGCTCACCAGAGTACGTTCCAACTTTGGGGAGGGGTTTTCTAAATTAAAAATCTGTTTCAGTGGAAGTGTTTTTCTCCCTTTGTCTTGGCACATGTAAAACACTCTTCCCTAGTCTGTGCTTGCATCTGAAGCCACCATTCTGAACGTGAGGGCTCTGCTGAGGCTCCCGCACCACGCGGGCACTGACAGCCGCCTGAGTCTGTCTGTGAGCAGGAAAGTTCGGTCGTGCGTGGGTGTGAGGACGCGGAACATTGAGTGAGTGACCTCCCGTACAGTTATTTTTTAACTTTTTAAGGTCATCTTGCTCATCTTGTTACTTTGGCGTCAGGGAAGAAACTACCTATTCAGGAAACTTCAAACAGTAGAAACGGTACTTCTCAGTGCAAATGGGCAATTGTTTCTTTGGCTTACTAGCTTTATGCTATGACGATGAGGCTTTAGAAGTCAAAAAGCAACTAAGTGTGTTTCTCTGTTTAAAAAACACATAGTATAACCTTTTAAAAGTAAGATGTATATTGGGGCACTTGGGTGGCTCAGTCATTAACCTCTGCCTTCAGTTCAGGTCATGATCCCAGGGTCCTGGGATCAAACCCCATATCAGGCTCCCTGCTCCACAGGAGGCCTGCTGCTCCCTCTCCCATTCCCCCTGCTTGTGTTCCCTCTCTCACTTTGTCTCTCTCTCTTTGTCAAATAAATAAGTAAAATCTTTTAAATAAATAAATAACAATAAATTAAAAATAAAAATAAGATGTATAAAAAATGTTATCAGATAGAGGACAGTAAACTCAGATTTTTTAAATGAAGAACCTATTAGTGTTACCATTTTATAACTATATACACCCAATAATTGTTCTGAAGAGAATAAAACATACAGAAATAATCCGGTAATAAAAGTGGGCACACAACTTGAACAGGTTCTGATAGAGGAGAAAGTCAAAGGGCCATTAAATGTGAGAACATGCTTGGCTTCATTATTCATCAATAAAATGGAAATCAAAACCATTCTGATTCACCATGTTACACCTTCAGAATGAAAAAAGTGGGGGGAAAAATGGGACTGTCGAGTTTGGGTGAAGCCGTAAGGCAGCTAATGAGGGTGTAAATGTTGTGCACACTCCCTTTAGAAACCCGTTTGGCATTCTCTAATGAAGGTGAAAATACAGGTCCCTATGTCAGTGCTCCGCTGTGGTGTGCACAGCGAGGCTGTTTGTGTGTGAGCACCAAGAAACATACATAAGAGTCTTCATAGAGGCATGCAAAATTGGGAGTGACCCAAATGTCCACCAGCAGTAAAATAGATGAATAAACTTTGATGTTTTAATAAAAAAAAAATCATAGTGAAAATGGTTTAATAACTTCTTTGGAACAGTGTGATGAATCAGGAACATAGTGTTGGGAGAGGAAAGCAAATTGAAGAAGACCAGGTACTATGAAATTATAAAAATCTCATAAATATGCCTAATTAAGTTATTGGTTAGAGATACAAATTCCTAAGGTAAAGCTATTTAAAAAACAAAACACAAAGCCTTCTACTTCAGCCAAAATGGGAGTAAACAGAGATGGGAGTTACCCCCTCAATTGAAACAACCTAAAAACAACAAGATCCGTGAAACCACAGCTCTCAAGGTGTTGGGCGTCTTTCTCTCAGTGGATGTCAGTCAGTGAAGGAAATTAACCCCCGAGAGACAAGAAACAAAGGGTTGATCCCTACAACTGCTCTCAGCTTAAAGCTTGGAGAAGATCACAGTGTGGGGAGAGGAAGACTGGGAGAGCCCAGTGGTCTCCCAGACTTGAGAACACATAGCCAGGAGACCAGACACACCAGGGAGGCTAGGAGTCCCACAGAAGCGTCCATCTGACAGAGAGAACTCTGGAGATCTGTAGGAAGACCCCTCGAGTGTTAGCACTAGCAAGGAAACAGTCCAGTGCCAGGAAAGAGCCCCCTCTTTAGAAGGAGGAGCAGCTACAGTAGTCAGGATTTAAGATGGTCTTCATAATAGAATGAACGTTTGTGCGCCTCTCCCGTTCATCTGTTGGAGCTCTAAACCCCAGTGTGAATGTATTGGTGACAAACCCTTGATAGAAGTAATTAAGGTTGAGTGAGATCACACGGCTAGGGCCTTGATTTGTTAGGGTTAGTGTCTTCATAAGAAGAAGAAGAGAGACCAGAGCTCTCTTTCTTGGCACACAGAGCGTCCCAGATCCCTGCCCCATGGGGTCCGCGTCCTACCTGCATAATCCCCAGGATTGTGAACGTGGCTTTTATTCCTATGATTATGTTACATTAAGCTTTTGCTTTTAAGTAATGGAGAGCCCTTTAAATATGGGTCCGGAGGTCAGAGACAGAAGTCAGATTCAGGAATGGGAAGGATTTGATGCATCATTGCCGCCTTGAAGGTGAAACAGCCACATGGCAGGGAATGCAGTTAGCAGTTAGGAGCCGAGAGTGGCAAAGAAACAGTCACTTTAGTCCTATAGCTACAAGGGGCTAAATTTTGACAACAGTAAGAATGAGCTTTGAGGTAACATTTATTGCCTGAGCCTCCACACAAGAATTCAGACTAACACTTTATTTCAGCCTTGTGATACACTGAGCAGAGAACTCTGTGCTATAGGACTAGAGAACTATAGGCTAGTACTTAGAGTGTCCAGCGCTCACACAAGGCTGGGAATGCTGTCTGCTCCCAGCAGCGAGAGCAGGAAACCTGTAGCTCACAGGGTTATCAGAGAGCTAACTAGTGGGGGAAAGTGCCCTGAGCACTACTCTGGTCTGATCCGACAAAGGTGAAAGGCAAGGACTGGATGTGCTACTTTTTTTTTTTTTTTTTAAAGATTTTATTTATTTATTTGACAGAGAGAGATCACAAGTAGGCAGACAGGCAGGCAGAGAGAGAGGAGGAAGCAGGCTCCCCGCTGAGCAGAGAGACCGATGTGGACTCGATCCCAGGACCCTGAGATCATGACCTGAGCCGAAGGCAGCGGCTCAACCCACTGAGCCACCCAGGCGCCCTGGACGTGCTACTTTGAAGTAACTTAACTAAGGATACTTGAGCTCTAGAATTTTTTTCTTTTTTTTTTTTTTAAGTATTTATTTACTTTAGGGGTGCCTGGGTGGCTCAGTTGCTAAGCGTCTGCCTTCAGCTCAGGTCATGATCCCAGGGTCCTGGGATTGAGCCCTACATTGGGCTCTCTGCTCAGCAGGAAACCTGCTTCTCCCTCTCCCTCTGCTGCTCCCCTGCTTGTGTTCTGTCTCTCTGTGTCTCTCTGTGAAGTAAATAAATAAAATCTTTTTAAAAAATAATTATTAGAGGAAGAGCAGGGAGAGAGAAACTCAGACTCCGTACTGAGCAGAGAGCCCAACATGGGACTCAATCTCACGACCCAGAGATCATGACCTGAGCCAAAACCAAGAGTCAGACGCTTAACCAACAGCCCCACCCAGGCTCCCTAAGCTCAAGAAATAGGGGCGCCTGGGTGGCTCGGTGGGTTGAGCCTCTGCCTTCAGCTTGGGTCATGGTCTCAGGTCCTGGGATCGAGCCCCACGTCGGGCTCCCTGCTTGGTGGGGAGCCTGCTTCCTCCTCTCTCTCTCTGCCTGCTTGTGATCTCTCTCTCTGTCCAAAAAATATATATATATCCAGCCCCAGGGCACCTGCGTGACTCAGTCATTAAGTGTCTGCTTTTGGCTCAGGTCCTGATCTCAGGGTCCTGGGATAGAGCCCCATATCGGGCTCTCTGCTCAGCAGGGAGCCTGCTCCCTCTCCCTCTGCCATTCCTGCTTGTGCTCTCTCTCTCTCTCTTCTCTGCCAAATAAATAAATAAAATCGTTTAAAAAATATATCCAGCATCAAACAAGGTAAAATTTGTAACATCTGATATCAAATAAAAAGTTACCAGACATCCAAAGAAGGAAGAAAACACAACCATGGGCTCCTGGGTGGTTCAGTGGGTTAAGCCTCTGCCTTCGGCTCGGGTCATGGTCACAGGGTCCTGGGATCGAGCCCCACGTTGGGCTCTCTGCTCAGCGGGAGCCTGCTTCCTCCCCCTCTCTCTGCCTGCCTCTGCCTACTTGTGATCTCTCTCTGTCAAATAAATAAAATCTTAAAAAACACACACACAACCATAATTAGAAGAAAAAAGCAGTCCTATTAAACTGACCAAAAATGACATCAGTGATAGAAGACAAGGATATTAAAACAAAGAATTTATTCCATGTGTTCAAGGTCTAGAGGGAATGCTGAGCATATTAATTAGGAGCATGGAAGATTTGTGGAAGACCCATTTCTGATTTCTAAAGATGAAAACAGTGTCTGAGATGAAGAGTTCAATGGGTAAAATTAGTGGCAGATTAGACATTGCATAAGAAAAGATTAGTGAGGAACAGCTGGGTGGCTCAGTCTGTTGGGTGTCTTCAGCTCAGGTCAAGATCCCAGAATCCTGGGATCGAGTCCTGCATCAGGCTCCCTGCTCATTGGGGAATCTACTTCTCCCTCTCCCCTCCCCCTTCCCGTGCTCGCTCACTCTCTCTCTGACAAATAAATAAAATCTTTAAAAAAAAAAAAGATTAGTGAAAACAAAGTCATTTAGAAAGTCCTGAAACAGAAGAAAAAAAAGACTACAGGGTATCAGTGAGCTGGGGGACAGTCTGAAATGACCTAATGTATAGCTGAAGCCAGCAAAGCAGGGATAGGGGGTTAGAGAAAATATTCTAAGAAATGATGGTTGAAATTTTTCCAAATTTGATGAAAAGTATAAACTCACAGATCTAAGAGACTGCGCCTCTACACGATAAAATTACACTGAACTACATCATAATCAAAAGAAGTATTATAACTAAGAAGCCAAGAAAGGAGATCAAATAGAATCATGAAAAGGAACAATTTTTTTTAAAGGAGAAGGAAGAGGTCATGAACGGTGATGTTTAGTGGCTGCTCTAGGGCTTACAGTACACGTCTCTAGCTACCCAGTACCTTCAGACGATGTTAACGCCATTTCACAGTAGCGTAAGACTTAGAACTGTGCACTGGATGGGTCTGCTCGGGCCGCCATAACAAAAGGTCATTGACAGTGACTAAACATCAGAAATTTTATTCTTACAGCTCTGGAGGCTGGAAGTCTGAGACAAAACCGCAGTTGGCTTTGGCTGAGGGCTTTCTTCCTGAAAGGCAGACCGCAGCTTTCTGGTGCTCACATGGCCCCTTTCTGGGCCTGTGCATGCCTGGGGCGGGGGAGGTGGGAAGTGAGTAAGCTCCCTGGTGTCTCTTTTTGGGCACTAACCCCATCATGGGGGTCCCATCCTTGTGACCTCGTATAGCCCTGATCACCTCCCAAAGGCCCAACCAAATATCACATGGGGTCTTAGGGCTTCAACGTGTAAATTGGGGGTGGGGGACACAACATTTAATCCATTAAAACAGCCCTCTGTTTCTTCCTGGATAATTTCTGTTGGCCCATTTTCAAGCTCACTGGGTTGGGCCCACTGATGAGCACAGTACAGGCGTTCTTGTGTGGCTGTGTTTTTCTACATCGAGCATTTCCAGTTGGACTCTTAAGTGTCTGTCTGCTGGAACCCCCCATCTGATCATTCACATCGTTCCAACATACGGGTTATCTCTAATTCTAGTTCCGTTGATCACTTGGTCTCTGATTCTGCGTGTGTGTCATCTTTCTCTTGTGTGTCTCCTAACTTTTTATCAAGTGTCAGCTGTCACTTAGGACAGTAGAGATAGAGATGAGTCGTCTGTCTGCAAACAACCTGACCTGCTGGGTTGATAGTGTGACAGCCTGAGTCTAGTCAGGGCTCGGGCTGGGCTCTGTTCTTCCCAGAGTGGCCTTCAGCACACCACTGAGATTCCTGGGAGACTCTCCGTCTCCCAGGTGTGCCCACGAGAGAGGGTTTTCTTCCGTGCTCTCGCCCCCACCCAAGCAGTAGTACGCAGTGGCTGGTTACTCGGGGCTTGCCTTCGGGCCAGGGGCTGGGGCAGATGAGAGGGTGCGCCACTGTTGTGTCCCTGGGTCGCAGCCCTTCCCTTAGTTGAAGCGGACTTCTCCCTGCTGGGCTCTTGATCATTTCCTGCCTCTCCCTCAGGAGTAGAACATCATTTTCATTACCCTTCCCAGCCATTGGAATTTTTCTCTGTGCCCGAAAATGAGAAGCTTGTTTTCACTCGCGCAGGGACATGGCAGTGTTTGCTTTGCGGAGGAGAAGGGTTCAGGTGGGTCCGCAGGAGGCGTCCTCTGGACCTGCCCCCAGGAGAGAAGCCCATAGTCAGGAGCCCTGCATCTGCGGTTCTTTGCAAGTTCGCTGTTTTAGCCAGGGGCTTCTTCCTTGCTTGGGTGGCAGCCTGTCTTCCATCTTGCTCTTACCTCTCATCTGGGCACCTCAGCGCAGGTGTCTGCCCGTGCAGGCACCTGTTTCTCCTTAGGTTCAGGTCACTTGGTTGCCATCATGACCCCAGCTGTGTGATAGATTCGAGAAAGTTACGATTTTATAGATTACCTTTTTCTTGCTGTTAGGGAGGCAGTGATACTCTTTCCGGCTTTCTTCCTCCTGGGGCATTCCAGTCAATATGTAATTAATAATAAGTAGTACAGTAACATTGCTTTACATAATGTATAATAGTAGTGATATTAACAGTAAAAAGGACATGGGAAATGTAACTGGGTTGGCCAGTGTACCCACTTGACTTTCTGTGTCAGACTGTGCGCTTCTGTTGGTCATGGTGAGGAGTCATCCCGTGTCACTGATGAGCAGGCAGGGCTGGGCAAGACGGACATGGGACAATAAGCTATCCCAGGGCACCTGGGTGCCACAGTCAGTTAAGCATCCGACTCTTGGTTTCAGCTCAGGTCACAATCTCATGGGTCTTGGGATCGAGCCCTGCATCAGGCTCTGGGCTCAGCATGGAGTCTGCTTTTGACTCTCTCTCCCTCTCCCTTTGCTCCTCGTCCTCTCTCTCCCTCTCTCTCAAAAATTAAAAGACTTAAAAAAAAAAAAACGGTAAGCTGTCACATGCTGGTCTGACGGTAGGAGCTAGGGGTTTGAACACTGATGGGGAAAGAGAAAGATAAGGAATCAAAAAAGAGATGTGGATCCTGAAGCCCACCAGCCAGGAGAAGTTGGGGCTTATTCTGGGAGGAAGGAGCCAAGTTCTCTGTTGGACTCCTGACGTGGATGTGCCGGTGGGCCGTCTAGGTGGCAAGGTTAGCAGAGCCCCCACCTGAGCCTGGAGAGCACTGGGAGGTGGAGGGGTCGGTGTCCGTGTCTGGAGTGCAGCTGAATCTCGGGGTGGGTACGGGGAGCCTGTTCGTCAAGCCTGGAGTGGGACTCCAGCCTCTATAGGAACCCCTCACTCGGGAGTCTTCCAACTTCCCACTCCTGCCTCTTCTCAGATGACCCTCTGCTGAGGGTCTGCTTCCATCTAGCTGCCACCAACTTCTGCAAGAAGTATTAGCATTTGGTAGGTCCCCCCCCCCGCCCCCTGTCCCCGCCAAGGTGATCGAGCTGCCAAAAGGCAACACAGATCAAAACAAGCATATTTTGTTTATTGACCACCTTGGCCCAAATCTTTCTCTGAGCCCCAGCCAGAACTGCATTACGGCCCATTATGTAGCATTTGTCTTCCCGGACCAAGTCATGAACTAATTAGTGAAGCTTGTATCTCGGTATGCTGTTACCAGCAAGGTGTGGGGAACTTGACAGTGTCCTAGTCTAGATAGGACACAGTTGGAAAACAACTGGGTGCTGTTCCACTTTCTAATAAAGAACCACAGAACGAGACGTACTCGCCACCAGATGGAGGCGAAGGACCACCACGGGCCCTCATCCTGGGACCGGCCTCTGAGCACGAGGGAGCAGAGCACATCCGGCTCTCTGAGCTGGGAACGCCCAGGTCTTGCCCCGTGAACCAGGGAAGTAAGTTCTGGAGAGAAGTGGGGAGCGAAGAAGGGGGAGCTGGAGTCCCACACGTGTGCCCATTTGGGTGCCGTCTTAGCTCGTGGTCTCGAGATGGCTGGGTCAGCGTCTACATTGCCCTCAGGGCTGCAGGCCCCTCGACACCTGTTGTAGACCCTGAGTGCGTCTGCGAGAATTCTCAGCCATCCTCTGCCCGGAGGCTTCTCATTCCGGAATGACCCTCAAGTGCGCCCGTTTTTAATGCTGTTCCTGGCCGAGGTCTTTGGGAAGCTGGGGGTGGGGGCTGGGTGTTTGGAGGTGGCCTCCTAGGCTGCAGGGTGAAGATTTGTCACTAGAGGGCCCACAGGAGGCCTGGCCGCAGGCCCGCAGTCAGGCTCTTGCTTCTGGCCCTGACATGGTGTCGGCGCCACCTGTTTGGGGTCCTCGGTAAGGACCACTCCATGAGCACAGTCTCGTCCTCCCACAACAGCCCTAAGGTCACTTGTGAAGTCTTGGTCCTTCCCTGACTGGCATCTTGTCACCTCAATGGCTTGGTCTCCAAGATGGGAAACACTTGTTCTCAGGGGTGCCTGGCTGGCTCAGACGTTAGAGTACACAGGTTTTGATCTCAGGGTCATGAGTTCAAGACCCATACTGGGCGTAGACCTCCCCAAGGGGGGGAAAAAATTTGGAAGCCACCCTGTCCTCCCCCACTCACACCGCAGAGAGTCCCCAACCTGGCACTAAAAACATCTACCGGAGCCTTCTCTGCAGTGCTCACTGCTGCTCTGCAGGCCACATTCCAGCCTAGATGTGGCAAGACTCCCATTGTGTCTCTCCTCGGGCTTCCCGGTGCGTTCTCTGCAGAGAGAAGGTCACACTTCCCCACACATGAATCCTAGGGCCCTGTGTGTGTTGGACACGCACGTCTACCAGCTCCACCTGCCCTCGTGTCGCTGTCTGCCCAACAAGAGTTCCTGCGGTCCCAGGTGGGGTTGCGGTTTGATGATGGCTTCTGGAAGCTCTGTACATCAAGACTCTAGGGTGGGGCTCCTGAGTGGCTCGGTGGGTTAAGCATTTGCCTCCCGTTGCAGTCACGAGTCCCGCCTCGGGCTCCCTGCTCAGCAGGGAGCCTGCCTCTGCCCCTCTCTCCTCTTGTTCTCTCTCAAATACACAAAATCTTAGGAAACAGAGACCGCAGGGAGAGTGGGACTCGGGCAGTAATGGCTTGTCACCTGCCACCGCGTGCCTCGTGTCCTTTCACACCTATCTCCAGCTGCCCGGTCTGCCTGGGTACGTTTCTAGTTACTGGACACAGTTGTGAGTTTTCTCCCCGACGGCCCGTGAGGACCACAGCCTGGGGGCCACCTCTAGGGACACGTGCTCTGCTGTTTTGAGTAGGTGGGCAGTTAACTTTTACTTTGGGTTTGTTGTTTCAGAGCATGAGAACAAGGGAGAGAACCCGAAGAGGGATTTGAGTCTGAAGCCGTTTCTTTCAGAGGAAGGATCCTCGGTTCTGGGGGGAGCACCCTCAGGCCAGCCTGATCACAGACCTTACAGAGCCGAGCAGAGCTGCCCTGTGAGCCCAAGCCCCGGCGGCCCGCCTGGAGCTCAGGTCCCCAGGCGGAGTGTGCCTGCCCCCCCGCAGCAGGGTGTCCCCGGCGGGGAGAGACCCTACAAGTGCACCGAGTGCGGGAAATGCTTCGGCCGCAGTTCCCATCTGCTGCAGCACCAGCGAACCCACACCGGGGAGAAGCCCTACGTGTGCGGCGTGTGCGGGAAGGCCTTCAGCCAGAGCTCCGTCCTCAGCAAACACCGGAGAATCCACACGGGCGAGAAGCCCTACGAGTGCAACGAGTGCGGGAAGGCCTTCCGCGTGAGCTCGGACCTGGCGCAGCACCACAAGATCCACACGGGCGAGAAGCCGCACGAGTGTCTGGAGTGCAGGAAGGCGTTCACGCAGCTCTCGCACCTCATCCAGCACCAGCGCATCCACACGGGCGAGCGGCCGTACGTGTGCCCGCTGTGCGGCAAGGCCTTCAACCACAGCACGGTGCTGCGCAGCCACCAGCGCGTGCACACGGGCGAGAAGCCGCACGAGTGCGCGCAGTGCGGCCGCGCCTTCAGCGTCAAGCGCACGCTCCTGCAGCACCAGCGCGTGCACACCGGCGAGAAGCCCTACACGTGCAGCGAGTGCGGCCGCGCCTTCAGCGACCGCTCGGTGCTCATCCAGCACCACAACGTGCACACGGGCGAGAAGCCGTACGAGTGCGGCGAGTGCGGCAAGGCCTTCAGCCACCGCTCGACGCTCATGAACCACGAGCGCATCCACACGGAGGAGAAGCCGTACGGCTGCTACGCGTGCGGCAAGGCCTTCGTGCAGCACTCGCACCTGACGCAGCACCAGCGCGTGCACACGGGCGAGAAGCCGTACGTGTGCGGCGAGTGCGGGCACGCGTTCAGTGCGCGGCGCTCGCTGGTGCAGCACGAGCGCATCCACACGGGCGAGCGGCCGTTCCGCTGCGCGCAGTGCGGCAAGGCCTTCAGCCTCAAGGCCACGCTGATCGTGCACCTGCGGACGCACACGGGCGAGCGGCCCTACGAGTGCAGCCGCTGCGGCAAGGCCTTCAGCCAGTACTCGGTGCTCATCCAGCACCAGCGCATCCACACGGGCGAGCGGCCCTACGAGTGCGCCGAGTGCGGCCGCGCCTTCAACCAGCACGGCCACCTGATCCAGCACCAGAAGGTGCACGCGAAGCTCTGAGCCCCCGGGCCCCCGCGCGGGACGGGCTGCCGGCGGCTCCACCCCGGGGAGCCCCGAAGAGCGGCCCGGGGCGCGGCGGGCGGAGGAGCCGGAGGGAGCCTGTCGCGGCCCTCGTGGGTGCGGGCCCGGGCGACGTCGCCCGTGCACCCGCTGGCAGGAGAGCGTGAGGCTCAGGCCGCAGCAGCACTTTCCCGCCTCTGAGTAAAGTTCGCGCTTCCAACAGGACATGCCTTTTCTAAAGACAACAGTTGCTCTAACTACTGCACGTAAGTTTGGGTTATTTGCACTATTGTTAGACCACTGCAGTGTTGTGTGGATGAAGAGATGGCTGTCAAGCATCACCGTGTAATACGGCTGGAAACCCTACGTGTGTGCAACCACTTGTTTTGTGTGAACAAAGGAAACAGCCTAAGGATGAATTAGGGAGAAATGATGTGAACTCAGAAAACGCATCAGCTGGTGTCTGAACTTTATTCCAGATCAGAAGGAATGTCCTAAGTGAAAATTCAACTCAGAAATGGATGTTTGCCTCAAAACCTAGCCTTATGACTTACAGACCTTATGCCCCGGAGATCGTGGGATGTCTGGGGCCTCCAGACCCTGTGTGGGTTGGAGGGGAGCTCTGCACCCAGAGCCCAGACCTCATAGCCACTGTGTTACTCAAAAGACAGTTCTTTGGTACATATTTTTAAAACCTAAAATTATCAAATTCAAATTGCTTTTTTATTATCTGAAATTTCCATTCCTATATTTGAGGGTTTTTTATTTTTTACTCCTGATTGCAAAAGTGTCTAGTATCCATTTTCATATACTGTAATGAATCTGTTTATTCATAATTTTTTAAGGATTTTATTTATTTATTTGACAGAGATCACGAGTAGGCAGAGAGGCAGGCAGAGAGAGAGGGGGAAGCAGGCTCCCCGCTGAGCAGAGAGCCCGATGCAGGGCTTGATCCCAGAACCCTGAGATCATAACTGAGCCAAAAGCAGAAGCTTAACCCACTGAGACACCCAGGCACCCTTATTCATAATTTTTTTTCATAATTTTTTAAAAGATTTTATTTATCTGACAGAGATCACAAGCAAGCAGAGAGGCAGGCAGAGAGAGGGGGAGAAGCAGGCTCCCCGCTGAGCAGAGAGCCTGATATGGGGCTCGATCCCAGGACCCTGGGATCATGACCTGAGCCGAAGGCAGAGGCTTTAACCCACTGAGCCACCCAGACACCCCTTCATAATTTTTAAAAAACATTTTATTTATCTGACAGAGGCAGCGAGAGAGGGAACACAAGCAAGGGGACAGGGAGAAACAGGCTCCCCGCTGAGCAGGGAGCCCGATTCGGGGCTTGATCCTGGGACCCGGGGATCATGACCCGAGCCAAAGGCAGATGCCTAAGGACTGAGCCACCCAGACATCTCTAATTTATTCATAATTTTTAAGTTTTTCCCTCTCTCTTGAAAACAGCTTCTCGGGAGAAATGAAGGACTGTGACCCTTAGGTCCGCAGCGGTACACTGACGCACATAGACACTCGTTCTCCCCAATCTGTGATGCAGGTGGGAAGAGCCATCGTCACAGGTGAAACTCTGGAAGCTGAGGCAGCAGGTGTACTGCAGAGAGGAGACGGGCTCCTCCTGAAAGGAGTCGACATCACTGATGTGTAGAGCAGAGCAGCTGGGACAACAGGCGCTAAAGCAACAAGCAGACAGGACTTGGGATCACTAAGGAGATGCTAGAGAGAAGATGAACTCGCTGAGACGCTCCTTCCACGACGGCTGAACCTCCAAGGAGATGCTGTCCAGGCTGGTGTGAGGCAGAGGGGCTAAATCCCTCAGGTCCTCGGGTGTTAGGTGTAGACAGTAGCCGAAGTCACTGGCCCTCGGGCAAGCTGCCACCCCCCGGCCGGCGGAGTCTGTAGCTGGCATCTGGCTCAGCGGCTGCCCCTCAGAGCCCACCACTGCTTGGGGCACAATTCTTAACCCTGCGGAGAGTTACAGTAAGAAATAGTCACGTTCTAGTCAAGACGAGAGTAAGAGTTCAGGTAAACACAATGTACAGAAATACTTGTTTGGAAAAATGCCGCATGTGCCACAGGACAACGTACGTGATACGGTACAAGTCATTCTGGATTGCTAAATGCACCAAATATAGGGTTTCCGGGGAAATCTGCAAAATGCATAGTTTGCTTTTCGACCTTCTTAAAAGAAGTGTACCTACTACCACTCTGCCTTTTCTTCCTGCTGACCTGTCCCTGACCCATTCGTTGGTGAGTGCACAGGCTCAGGTGTCCGTGGAGCTGGGAGGTGAGCCTCAGTGCCCTTCTCCCTGGGGAGGATCCCTGGGCCATGCATTTTTGTCACTCACCCCTCCAAGGATCAGGACGTAGCACAGAAACTGCTGGAACATATGGGCAGTCTGCGGTTTTGGAAGTGGCATCAGGCACTAAAATGACCTTTGGGATCTCTTCACCTTGTTTTTTTGTTGTTGCTGTTCTTGTTGTTTTGTTTTAAAGATTTTATTTATTTATTTGACAGACAGAAATCACAAGCAGGCAGAGGCAGGCAGAGGCGGGGTGGGGGGAAGCAGGCTCCCCGCCGAGCAGAGAGCCCGATGCGGGACTCGATCCCAGGATTCTGGGATCATGACCCGAGCCAAAGGCAGAGGCTTTAACCCACGGAGCCACTAGGCGCCCCTCCCTTCACCCTGTTAACAGCCTTCTCAGCCGTTACTGCCCACCTCTGACTGGTCAGCAACATTCCATGCTTATTTTGGACCTTTTAATTTTTATTTAGAAGTCTTTACATCTTGTGCATTTTAATCCTCTTATTTTTCCTTACTGCTACCAAGAATTTGACACTTAGTTCTCAAATTTTCTGTAAGTTAGAAAATACCCAGATTTTTATTTCCGTGTACTATGTATGATCTGACATTGTCCAATAAAAAAGGAATGACTAGAACACCTATTCGTGGGTGAAGGGAGATCAATAACTCTGCCGTAAGGATCTACAACAAAGCAGAGGACATGCGCTGGCAGTTCCCAGTAAAGGGAAGTACAATGAGGAGAGCCTGGAAAAGGCTGAAGTGTGCCCGTTTCAAACAAAAACATTCCACCTCCTGATCCATTAGTAAAGGTTACCCAGCAACACACAGAGCTGCGAAGGTGCTTTCGTGTGTCGCTGGTAGTACAGTCCAGCCCAGCTGCATCAAGTACAGGACATGTGAGGAGCCATCGCTTCTCTGGAGAAAGACACCTGCGCAGCAGGACCGGGACTGAGGTGCCATGCAGACCAGAGATGGCCCTGAGGGAGGCATGAGCACTCCCAGAGGACAGGCCCACGAGGGTCCTTTGCAGGAGACGGGCTTGCTCTAGGGCTGAAGAAAATTCTGGGATGGGGGTGGGAGTAGTGCTGCCCCACCTGGGTGAGTTTGGGGAACACATGGTTTCATGCATCAAGGTCCCTGAGCTGAGAAAGCAGGTGAGGTATGGGGGCCCCAAGACTGCCCTCCCCTCTGACACCAGTTACAAATTTGGGGATCCCAAGTTCAATAATTTGCTGCTAGGACGCCTCGAACTTGCCTTGAAACCTGATATACACCTGGTTACAGTGTATTACAGGGAATACCACAGATGAAATAAGACAAGGGATTGCATGGGGGCAGAATCCAGGAAAAGTAAAAAACGGGGGCCTTCTGTAAAGTCACGGACGGCATTACTGCCCTGCCTCTGATATGTGACATGTGCACAGAGTACTGCCAACAAGGGAAGCCTCAGAGTTCTTGAGGTTTGGTGACACGGACACAGATGGCCACCCTCATAACTGACCCAGTCTCCAGCCTCTCCACAGGCTCAGTAGATCCCACACGGCCAAAAGCCCCTGCCCTGCTGTTCCCGCAGAGCTCCCGGCTCTAGCTGAGTAAACAAAGACTGTCAGCAGGACACTCCAGCTGCCCAGAACCTGGGACAAAGGCCATCCCTCCCCTGGAGTCAGGATAACCCTTTTCGCACAAGCGGTGAAGAGTGTGTCAGATCCCAGGCCCACCTCCAACTGCTCTGTGAGCTTGGTCCAATCACCTTCCTCAGCCTCAGCTTCTGATCTATAGATGAGAATATCACCATTGACATCACAGAGCTGCTGGGAAAATGAAGTGAAACCTACAGGAAGACCAGCCCAGCATTCAGTTCCGTGTGGTCTGTGTGCTGGAAGTTAGTACGACTCTGAACAGGTGCAGCTGTCATGGGAGGCAGGAGCCATGTGGAGAACAACAGGCCAGGGGAGCTGCTCACTCACCACAAGGAGATAGAAATGTTCCCCAGCCCCAAGGGATCTTGAAGAAGCTCAGCCCATGGTCACACAAACCATGCAGGCAACAGGCTAGGCAGGGCAGAGTTGGCCCTGAGCAAGGACCCACTCCCTCCTCAGCATGAAAGCCCACACAGCTCCTCCAGCAGAGACTCTAGGACAGCCTAGAGGACACCAACCCCAGGGGGCATGTGAAGACTGGCCCAGCCCCTAAGAACAGGAGTGGGACAGCCCTTATGGAGAGATCCAGCTCTGGGACGCTCTGGCTCAGATCGGATGCTCTGCCTGGGTCCCTCTGCTTCAGGAGTGTGTACTGTGCAGCCACAAAGATGTGGGCATGGGTACCACACACTGTGAGCACGACCTTACCTGGCCTTACCATGAAGTCTGGGGTAAGCTGTGTCGTATTTTACCCAGAGGTGCTGACTCAAGGCTGCCCGAACGGGCCTGCTGTCTGATCCTCTGACACCAGTAGTTCATCTCCTGACTGGTTACTGCCCACAACTATTAACAATTCCTAACAGTCTCCTGTGGGCTGAGATGACATGGCTCCCAAAGGCCCTCTGTCACCGCAGGCTGACAGCTCAGCCGTGGCGGCAAGAGGACAGCAGCAAGGAGTTAACCCACCAGACACCGGACTGTCCAGTTGAGAACCCCAATCCTTAGATGGGCTTGACACTTGTCC